ACAGCAGAATGAAAGGGCTACTGGACTGTGGAGCCACCCGAAATTTTATGTCCCCCAGTGCAGTCAAAAAACTGCATTTGGGCATGAACGGGGTGCAACTGCAGCAACCGCTGCAGGTCAGGATAGGTGACTCCACTGTACTGACTATCAGGGAGAAGGTCAGGGGCATCCCTGTGGCCTTCGACAGTGCTGGACAAGTCAGACATAGTCTGAACTTATACATGTTCCCTGATCTACCCTTTGACTTGGTTTTCTCTATGCAGTGGCTGAAAGCAGTCAACCCAAGGATCGACTGGCAGATCCCCAAGGTTGAACTGCCGGACAGCAAGGGGGTGTATCAGCCATCTATGATTGCAGCTGAACACCACCCTAAGACCTCATGCTTCTGCCTAAGAGCGAGAGAGTTTTATGCTCTCTCACGCCAGTACGATCACGAGCGTCTGTTTATAGCTCTGGTCAAGCAAACAGACGCCCCCACTACTCCTTGTCCTCCTGAGATACAGCAGGTAGTTGACCAGTATGCTGATTTGATGCAGGAGCCCTTTGGGTTACCCAACCGGCCAACCAAGCATCACATTGAGCTGCTGCCTGGAGCGGTCCCTCCCAAGGGCCGCATCTACAGGATGTCACCTGCTGAGCTTGAGGAGCTCAGACGCCAGCTTGAGACCCTGACCAGCAAGGGTTGGATCAGGCCCAACACTTCTGAATTTGGCGCCCCAGTCCTCTTTGTTCCAAAGGGGAGTGGCGAGTTCAGAATGTGCATCGACTACAGGGGTCTCAACAAGATCACTAGGAAGAGTACAGAGCCCTTCCTAGGATCGATGACCTTCTGGATATGGTCCAGGGATGCACTATTTTCAGCAAAGTCGACCTCAAGTCTGGTTACCACCAGATTGAGATGGCAGAGGAGGATGTTTACAAGACAGCCTTCAAAAACAGATATCGTACTTATGAGTATCTGGTTATGCCATTTGGACTTTGCAATACACCTAGCACATTTCAGACAGAGATGCACCGCATCTTCAGGCCTTACCTGGATAAGTTTATGGTTGTCTACCTGGATGATATCCTGGTATTCAGCAAAACTACAAGGGAACATGCGGAGCATCTAGCTCTGGTTTTTCAGTCATTACGTGAGAGCCAGTACAAGATCAACAAAGAGAAGTCCTCTTTTGGAGTTCCCTCTGTGATCTACCTGGGGCATGTAATCTTTGGAGATGGTCTGGCCCCTGAAGCAGCCAAAATTGCTGCTATTCAGGATTGGCCCCAGCCCCAGACAGTGAGAGATGTCCGGTTTTTTTTGGGTCTGGCCTCATACTACAGAAAGTTCGTCAGGAACTTTTCTGCAGTGGTTGCACCCCTGACTAACCTCACAAAGAAAGACACTTCGTTTCTTTGGTCTCTTCACTGCGAGATTGCCTTTGCGCGACTCAAACAGGCTTTGACTCGTGCACCTGTTCTGAAGTTACCTGACCCCACTTTGCCTTTTGTCCTGACGACTAGCGCCAGTCAGTATGGCATTGGGGCAGTACTTCAGCAGGATGATGCGAATGGTCTGAGACCTGTCGAGTTCATGAGTAAGAAGATCAAGACTCGGAAAGTTCAGGACTCTACCTACGAGAAAGAGCTGTATGCTCTTGTCAGTGCCCTGAAACATTGGAAGCACTTTCTCCTGGGCAGGCACTTCAAGATCTTCTCAGATCACTCCACCTTGCAGTGGATGAAGTCCCAAGGAGAGTTGAACGATAAGTTGGCACACGCTACATTCAGTTCATTGATCTATTTGACTTTGAGCTGAAACACAAGAAGGGCTGCTACAATAAAGTAGCTGACGCCCTCTCTCGTAGGCCTGATTCTTTTGCACTGATCTCCTCTACTCACTCCTTTGGAGAGGAGGTCCGTCAGACCATCACTCGTCTACTGCCTCAGGATCCGACTTATGGGCCCATCGTTAGGAATCTGCAAGCAGATCCCAATTCTGAACCTGGCTATGCTATGAGTTCAGATCTGTTGTACACTTACAGCAGAGGAGAGGAGCGCTTGTGTATCTCTGAGGATCAGCAGTTGAGGACACTGCTGATGTCAGAGTGCCACGATACACGTGGGCACTTTGGGTTCTTAAAGTCGTATGCAGCCCTGTCGCAGCGCTTCTTCTGGAAGGAGATGCGGAGTGATATGCTGCATTATGTGGAAACGTGTGAGCTATGCCAGAGGAATAAGGTTCAGCGTAAACCTCCTCTGGGACTGCTCAAGCCCCTGCCCATACCTGATGGTCCTGCACAGTCTGTATCCATTGATTTCACAGACTTAGGCAAGACCACCCCTCGTGGCATGCGTCAGGTCATGGTTTGCGTTGACAGGTTTTCCAAATACGCAGAGTTCATCCCCTTACCAGAGGTGGCGAGGGTCCCGACTGTGAGAGCAGCCTTTTCTGAGAGGTGGGTCACGCACCATGGACCGCCCACTTCTATTGTCAGCGATCGAGATCCCCGATTCTGCAGCGATGAGTGGCAGTCCTACTGCAAGGACTACCTGCACTCACGCCTGGACATGACTTCTGGTCGTCATCCTGAAGCCAATGGATTGGCTGAAGTGGTGAACCAAGTCCTATTCCAGTTGCTGCGTCCTGTCATCTCGCCAGATCAACAGGACTGGGATCTCCACTTAGCGAGGGCACAACTCATGTATAACATGTCTGTCCACTCCTCGACAGGGTTCAGTCCCTACCGATTACACTAGGGACGTGAGCCACAACAGCCTCTCAATGATATCATCGATAAGGCTAAGCCTGATCTGACCCCAGGCACGGCAGAGTTCGCCAGACGCTATCATCTGGACGTGGAAAGAGCCCGCGCGAACTTGTTCAAAGCCCAAAAGGGTATGATCGAACAAGCTAATCGCTACAGGCGGCCTTCCCCCATCCGCACTGGTGATCATGTCTGGGTGGCCAGCTCTGAGCCGTCGAGGGAGGAGGACATCTCCTCCAAGCTGTTGCCACGTTACCTGGGTCCATGGCAGGTCCTAGATACAGTGGGCGCTGATCCCTTCGGTCCGTCGTATGTCATCGACGTCCCGCTGCATCTACGTACCTACCCGGTCTTCCATGCATCCAAGCTGCTGCCTTTCACTCCAGCTGATGCATTTCCCGACCGGCCCCCTCAGTTCGGTCCACCAATCCCTGGTAAGGGATACGACATTGACCGGATTGAGGATGAGTGGGGCATTGGCCCCGATCGGCAGTATTTTGTCAGATTCGCGTTCCAGCCACCTTCAGAGAGTCGATGGTTCTACAGGAAGGACCTGATCAAGACAGCAAAGTCGATTGTCCTGCGGTATGAAGCGGCTCAGAAGGGTAAACTTCGCCTTTCACCCCGCCTACACCCCTAGCTCGGAGGTCCTCGCTCCCGGGGAGGGTAAGCCTGCAATGACTTGCTGATTTCTGCTGTCGAGATTCACTGCGAAGCTGTACACTAACCGTAGGGTTAGTTTTGTAATTTTGTTTGGCTGAGGGCTAACCGAGAGGTCCGTCTGTGAGGAAATTAGTGAGGGACAGATCTGCAAATCCGGGAAAATACAGGCCCGGTACTAACCGAATTCCTACAGCTACCCTAACTGCCTATAGCAGGCCCGGGCTACC